ACTTTAAAACAGAAAAGAAAAAATGCTTTGTTCATATTCACACTTACATTAATATTTCTGTATGAAACATATTAAAATACAGTTAGTTTGTCCAGTACATATTTTTCTTACATTATATCAAATTTTGAACCTTTTCTTTTTTCGGGCAGGTAACCTTTCATGTGGGGCAGGTAACATCTGATGTCACTAGCCCAACACGGCAGTAAAATAAAAAATTGTCGAACCCTGCTCCAAGGACAAAACAAAATGTATTCAACAGCTAAAAAAGTAGATTTTGCACGAAATGTCCTCTTTAAAYCTGATCTGTTTTTACAGCCTTGCTTGATGCAACTTTAGTGGCGTTCATTGCTATGTTCACACTGCYTGTCTTAATTATCACTTCTGATTTTTGGAAAAAAATTCATTTTTAGGAAAGACTATTCACATTGTATTTTAAACGTGACTTCCATCGGACATTACTGTACGTTTCTGCAGATTTTCAGTCATCCAGGACATGGAAAAATTAAAAGAACAAAGACAAAGCAACTAGACTTACGTTCTGTAGCTGAAGATGTGGAGCTACGAGCTTTAAACTGCACGACTCCAGGTTAGTATCATTATTACTGTATCAGTTTGCTCACCCCCACCTCACAGATGTGAAAGTCAGATGAAATGTGACACGAGTMTTCAGACTGCAGTTGCACTGAAAGCATCAGATACGTATCCACAGGACCACATACTGAAAAAGTCTGGGTTGGATTTGAAAATAAAATCAGATTTGTCACCATCAGGCTGTCATGAAAAAAATTTAATAAGGGTCCCGTAGGGCAAAAATATATTTAAAAAATCTGATTTGTCTAAAGTGTGAACATAGCCTGGTCTGGTTTCAGCTTTAGTTTTGTGAGATGTTGAGGTACAAGATCTCATTACAGCCCTACTAAAAAAACATAACAAAAAAGAAAACAAAACAAAAGAATTAGTCCAGTGAACTAAAAACTCTAAAGGTATCCAGTTTAAAGAAGTCAGGCTTTACTAATGAGAAACTTACCATGCTGTATCRTCCATGAAGATACCTTCTCTTTCCAGCTGCATGAACAGCTCCCCACCTGTCATCACCACAAACAAACACTGTTATTCAAATGTTACATAGATAATATTCAGTTTTCACTGACCTTTTTACACTTTCTAATGCACATGAAAAAAACTTAGGCACRGTWTTCCAAAACTGCTATTTTTATAAACTGAGCTCAGCTGAGACATAAGGTAAATACTGTAAGAACATTTAGACTGAGAGTATTTCAAAGACCTGGACAAAATGTGCATTGATACTGTAAAAAGGTCTGTGGACTTCACTGTGGGGTACTTAATGTGTGATTAAACGATGCTCACCACTCAGATACTCTAAAAGGAGGTAGAGCTTCCCTCCTGTCTGGAAGGCYTAGATGAGGTCAACAATAAAAGGATGCTTCACTTCCTCCAAAACACTCCTCTCAGCTTTGGTGTGTGCCGTGTCCTTCGCATTCCGCACAATCATTGCCTGGCAAAGAGGTAGAAAAGCAAAGGGCTAAAACATCCCAGTGACAAAGTTAATTCCTTTAGCCGACATTAAAACTTCCACATCAAGAGTTTAGATAGAGGGGTTATAAAGAAGTCAACATATATGATCAGTGGAAAAAACTTTAGGCTCCACAAAACAAAGGGCCTAAATGCCTCTGCATTCTCCGTAAGAAGTCGAACAGTTGATGCACAGTCACGTGGGTTTTTAGGCGTACGTTTTCGTACACACTAGGGATGTAAGAAAATATCGATACACTGAAATATCACGATATTTCATTTCCRGATACTGTATCGATATTCTAAAGRCCTGTATCGATTTTTTATTAAGGTTTAAAATGTCAACRTTCCTGCCAGCCGTTCATTTTTATGTTGTAGTTCAGCCTCTGACCACTAGTTGGCAGCAGTGAGCCAGACATTTGGCTACGCTACCTCTTGAACGCCAGAGAGTAAGGGTAGCATTAGCATTGTAAGTAAACATTAGCTTCATGCTCCGATAGCTGAATCTGACAGGAAAAGACCGACACCCTCTGCCTTCTAAGCTGAGGGAAGTTTACGAACAGATATTCTTGCCAGTAAAATTCTTGCCCTAGTACACACCTTTCAACAGTCCCTGAGTCACACCGCGCCGAACTCCTGGTAAACCCCTCCCACTATGGTATATGTCACTACAGGGGGTTTCCTCCTGCTGGAGTCTAGTACAATGCGAAAAAAATAAAAATAAAAAGGCCGACACCCAGCACCCGACGTTATTTATGCACAAATCCGTCACGGTTAAAGCTCCAAACTTTTTATCAGTTAGAATTCACCTTGCACAGTGTGTTTTTGGCCGTTAGACTATCTTTAAATTGCTGCTTCCTGGTACAACAGTCAGCTCTGGAAGTGAGTCGCTTTTTTTTAAAGKAAAATGTGGTGTCTGAGCGCTTTCAGCATGAACAAACACTCCCACGAACTTCTGACCAATCACACAATAAGTTCTTATGTGGAGGGGGTAAAAAGTTCTGTCGGCATGTTGTGTCAAGAAGCTGCTGAAATGTCCACAATGCGAACAAAATGACGCAATTTTCATCATGAAACTGCGACAATCCGAACCCATTTCGGCAGTTCGAAGGGAGTATGCAGAGACCTTAACCAGGGCCGGATTTAAGTGGATATGAGCCCCTGGGCTTGAGCCAATAATAGGCCCCTCAAGCACACACGCGCACACACACACACACACACACACACACACACACACACACACCAAATATATGTATATACTGTAAATGTCAGATTTCTATTCTATGTTCTAAACTATAGACCTTCATGAAGCTCTAAAGCTCCCACTCCAAACATTTTCAACTACAAATCCTCCCTGATGTGAAGAGAAACATCTAGTTTCAAAACAGAAGTCCAGTTAAAAAATATTGTTTTTTAATGCCTCTAACCTCATTAAAAGCTTCATCCTGACATTTAGTTTATAGTTGTCTTTATTTAGATGAACTATTTTAAGT